CATTAACATCAACTGAAAGTCATTGGGCCTATTATATTTACACTCCACTGGAAAGGAACAATAAACTTGAGAGAAAAGTAACACATGTCATGTGTTTCCAAGTTGCCAAATATATAATAGACAAACCTGGCGGGATTTTCTAAAGCGTGTTGATTGTTCCCAGTAGTAAGAAAAAGAATTTGACAAAGGAGTCCAGGAAAAGCGATGATGGGAATCAAACGAAAGGATCACAGTCGAACTTAGCACCAAGTAAAAAAAAGAAAACATGAGGCTAGATCTATACGGGTCGCACACTAAAAATAGTGCTCAGTATTGCGCGACAATGCACGGTGGTATCGAACGGAAGTACGACTTGAAATAAACAAATTTGGCGGATTTTCTAAAATTGCAGAGACAGAAGCGTCGGCCTACAAAAGCGATCGGCGAAATAAAGAAATTTAGCTTTTACAGCAAAACTGTCTCGAAATTGAAAAAAATACAAACGAAGGGTGTCATGATCTGGAGAATATTTTAAAGAATCTTTTAGCGAAAACCGCATGTCGATCGATGCGGTCATTAAAACGCCTTTTAAATAGCAAAATTCGGCAACCACAAATAGATAATAGAAGCTTGCCCCATCTTCTTTTTATCAACAACAAAGGAAGAAAATAATCTAATATATTACTCTAACAATCAAAAGCAGATTGGCGACAGACTGAGTGGCACTCTGTGCTGGTCAGTTATTCGGGTCTATAACAAATATCCGCGAGTTGTTCCCCTTCATAACTGGAGTTGTATTTTCAGAAATTTGACGTTAAAATTTATGAGTTTTACAACATGTCAATCTATTTTGAATACAATTCTTGGAATATTTTGATAACGACTCCGAATAATCTCACCATTTTGATAGAGCAGATAAAATATAATCTGGTTTCTGACCTCATGGTCTTTGTAGCTCACAAAGGCCAAACATTTCAGATAGAACTTTGTAATCCTAAGGTAGAGATTTATCGATCAATCATCTCTAACTGTACATTGTTAATCTTAATTAACAGTGCACTGTCAGTTCTTTTGGCTTTAAGCCAAAATTCAGTGCAGACGCCTCGGGTTCGAGTCCTTGCCAAGAAGCCTAAATTTTGGTTCGCTCGGGAAGTTTTCCTCCCATCTGTTTAAAACGTGAGTCTCTAGTTTTCCGGTTGGTTTTCCTTTCTTTTTTCCTCCTTTTCTCCTTTTCCTCTTAACCTTCTAATCTTTCTCCTCCTCCACCTTGTTGTGAAATAGTAAAAATGTTTGAAGATTTGGATACATTTCGGAGAGAAATTAGTATTATATCTAAAAAGACCACCGCCCTCATCCTCGTCGTCATCATCATCGTCATCGTCATCATCATCATCATCATCATCATCATCATCATCATCATCATCATCATCATCATCATCATCATCATCATCATCATCATCATCAATCCACCTGCAGTCC